GTCTGGCCCCGTCCTCCTGACCCCCACCCTGCAGATATTTAGAGGCATTTCTAAGGTCCCCTCTCAGCCTTCTCTCCTCCAGGCTGAACAAGCCCAGCTCCCTCAGACTCTCCTCGTAGGAGAGATGCTCCAGTCCCCTCACCATCCTCGTAGCTCAGACACCAGCACGACACATGCAGCAGCTCAGCAACGTTCTGTAGTTCGCAAGCCAATTAAAACAACACATTTTAATTACGTTAAAGCAGAGCGCTAAAGTAGAGCACTTAGTTTTCATATAGTAACACATTTTAGCACCTAAAAACTTGTTGGTTTATTCATCATTGCTATGCAATATTATCCTGGTTTTAGCTTTGAGAATAAATGCTGCTAATGCAAAATGACTCTGCTCCACTGCAACCAATGCACCTGAACCAGTCTATCAGCACAGAAATTGTTACTTGGTTTCAAACGAGACAGTGGCATTTTTACCTGTGGTTTTGGCTGCGTTTTCACCCGTGGACCACTGCCTTCCACTGTTCAGACGCCCCAGGGCCCTCTGTGAGAGACGATGCTCCAGCCTCTTGAGGCAGGACATGCTCAGCCTGGCTGTCCTGGCTGGAAGCACCCATTGCTGTGTGAGAAGGCGAGGCTATTTACTATGTAATACTGATAAAAATCTGCAAGATCAGAGGGTGGCCAAAGTTTACCCTCTATTTTCACAGAATCACAGAATGGCAGGGGTTGGAAGGGACCTCTAGGGATCATCTGGTCCACCCCCCCTGCCAAGGCCAGGTCACCTAGAGCAGGTTGCACAAGACCTCGTCCAGGCGAGTTTTGAAGATCTCCAGAGAAGACGACTCCACAACCTCTCTGGACCACCTGTTCCATTCTGTACAGCAATGTCCTCCACTTTTTCTGCACATCCTTCTTCATCAGTTCGCCTTGTAAGACCTTTTCCACATAGAGTCACAGAGTATTTCAAGTTGGAAGGGACCCATAAGGATCATCGAGTCCAACTCCCTGCTCCTCACAGGACTACCTAAAACTAAACCGTATGACTAAGAGCATTGTCCAGACGCTCCTTGAGCTCTGACAGGCTTGGTGCTGTGACTACTTCCCTGAGGAGCCCGCTTCAGTGACCAACCACCCTCCCAGGCTGCGGCAGTTCTCCTGCAGAAACCCCAGCAGGAGAGCTCTCCCAGCAGCGTTCTGGGCTGAGCGTGACGGGGCGGCTGCACTGCTGGCACACGCAAGGCGCTCCCCGTCTGGGATTCCCACTGCCATGGGGCAGGTCTGCAACGGGGGAGATCTTCAGAACATTCTGCGCCATGCAAGATGAGCTTCCATACGCTTCTATTTAACTTCTATTGCTGTGCACAAACACGCCCTAAGCGAGGCTTCAAGGCAAAATGCTGCTGCTGCGTGACCTGTCAATATACACTAGTGACTGAGGACAAGAGGAGGGGTCTTTCTTTCCTGGCCTGTGTAAGAAGTAGTGAAAGGCTTTTTCTGTAGCTCTCTGTATGCAGGCTGGGGGCTGTGCTCACAGTCTCTAGACCTACTTTGCAGGAAAAATAAAATCCCAGCATTTGGGGGACTTATTAATCGCCCTGTTAGTAAACAAGCCAAACCCACTTTACCCACCCGTTAACAGCAGCTTGTTCAGCATCGCTGGTGCCGAAGCAGCCACTGCTGCACCCTGAGCAGATGGCCACGGACACACAATGTGCGCACATATACTGACACCCAATTGCTTCATCCGACCCCAGCAAAACCACGCCACTCGCGCAGTGGCTGGAACACACGCGCAGTGCCTGGATGAGTGGCTCCCAGCCACGCTGCGTTACGGCACCGACCCGCTGCTCCATCTCTCGCAGGGGACAAACAAGCTGCAGCCCGGTTTGATGCTTCAAGGGCAGCTGAAAAAGCCGTGCCCTGCTGGGTCAGCCCTTTGCACAGCTCGCGTACCTGGGGGCCGGGCTCTCTCCAGCAGCCCAGGAGCTGCAGGAGCCCAGGCGACAGCAACACTGTGCCATGCCCCGGCCTGGACGGTCCCTTTGCTGGAGGAGGTCATGCCCAGGAGAAAGGGACGTTTTCTGGGGCTGAGGAAGAGCCGCAGGCAGAGCAGCGCTGGGGCAGCCATCGGCAGCTCTCGGGCGGACTGCTCAGGGTCAGGGTCTCCCCACTCGTGACTGCGCAGGTAGCAGCCCGTGGTCTCACCCCGACCAGCCTGGGACCGCGTCTTCTCCA